TGCCTATGATGAAGGTGATGAAACATATGAACCGTCACATGAAAATGATTTTAGTGATTTTGACAGGTCAAATATTACATTACGACCGCGCAGAAATCAATTCTTCGAAGCAAACATAATGGAGTTAAGTATCCCATCAACTTACGAAGAAGCTGTCAACAGGCCTGACTCTGAATTATGGCTAAAAGCCATCGCAGAAGAGCTGGAGGCTCATGATGAAAATAACACCTGGAGCATTATTGATAAAGGAAATCGGGAGCTATAACTTCAAAATGGGTTTTCGACATTAAAAGAAATAAAGATGGTGAAATTAAACAGTATAAGGCCCGGCTTTGTGCACGTGGTTTTTCACAAATTAAGGGAATTGATTACACTGAAACCTTCTCACCTACTACTCGATATGAGTCAATAAGAATTTTGTTAAGTATTGCGGCTCAAAAGAATTTGATTATTAGACAGTTAGATGTCAAAACTGCCTTTTTGTATGGAACACTAGAAGAGGATATTTATATGGAAATTCCAGAAGGTGTGAAGGCAGATAGAAACAAAATTTGTAAACTGAACAAGTCTCTATATGGACTAAAACAATCATCTCGCTGGTGGAACAGGAAGTTCACAGATTTTTTAGTAAAATTCGGCTTTGTGCAGTCACAAGCAGATAATTCGCTAAGACGCGTCTCTCCCCCCGCGACCCTCCTCCTCGCGCATCCGCGCGGTCCCGCTGGCCAAACGGGCCCCGCGCGGAACGCCCTCCTCCTCGGGCCAGCCTACCACCATCGGCCGGCCCCGTGGGTTCCTCTTAGCTTCACCGTGGGATAAAATCGACCACGACTACTAGAGCCCCCCCGCCACGACAAGGCGGGAACCCCTTCGGGGGGGTTCGGAGGGAACCTAACCTAACCTAACCTAACCCTCAAGTGGGGGCCACCGCAGTGACTACAGATATAAGTCGTCTCCTTGCACAATCTCTTATTGTGGCCGTACCCCAGGCATCGCGAGCACCGGTCTCTATAGCTCTTGACTAAAGCGCGGGGGGGGGGGGGGGTGCCGGCGATCGGTGGTTTGTGTGGGGATTTCGGGCGTTCTTCCTGAACTTTATCTCCAGCCGGTCATCTCCACCATCGAGGCCGCGGAAAAAGTTCGGGTTCTGATTCCTGAATGCTCTCAGAATGTTGTCGTCCTTGTGCACTGACAGGACGTCCCTCAGCATCAGAACTGGATCCTTGTTTTTCACGGCCTCCACTGTGAGGTGACTTCCCGACTGCTCTATTCTACTTTTCATTTTCGCCTGTTCCTCTCTCGTTCTAAAGCCCATTATGACTTTGCGATCTTTGGCTTTCCTGACCTTTTCCACAGTGATCCAACCCTCTTTGGCGTTCGCTGCTTTCCTTATTTCCTCCAGTACCTCTTCCCCGGTCACCGTCTCGTCCGTTGATGTTACCACTACTGAGTGGAGCGAGGCTCGGTTCCCGGCTGTTTGCCTCGCGCCGTGACCCGCTGCCACTCTTGTTACATTCTCCATTGTTTTCCGCTGCGATTCCAGTGCCTGTGTCAGTTCTTCCATTTTCTTAGAGCTCTCTTCTAGCTTTTTTATGTGCTCAGTCATATGGGTTTGGAGTGCCCTCTGGTGGTGTTCAAAGCTTACGTCTTCTCCTCCCTCCCCACTCTGTTTTTCCTTTCCCCCTTTTTCTGCACCCTTTTCCTTCTGTTCGGCTTCTAGCTCTTTCACCAGGGAGTAAAGTCTGTTGATTGCCTCCACCACGCCATTTTTTATATCGGTTTTGAGATTACGTGAGTTTGTAAGGTGTTGTTTGGCTTTGATGAGGCAGCATCTCGCTTCTGCTGTACGATTCGGGTATACAGTTTTTGGCGAGCTCCGAGGGCCAGCCGGGGACAGTCTCGAGCTCGCAGTATCCTGTGACAGTACGAGTCTTGGCTTTTCTTTCGCAGGGCCAGCCTGCGTCGTCCTAGTCGTCAAAGGAGATGTCTTAGGAGATGTGGCGGGTTTATCCGACCCCGCTGCCTCCCATTCCCCTATGCTCCTCCTCACGTTTGAGGTCAGGGTGACTGTTTTTGGTGGTGACTTTTGAGTTTCGCCTTCGACGACGGTCTGTTTTTTGTAGGTATATAATAGCACTTGTATATAAAACAGTCAAGGTTTGTATAAGTTATAAATGTCTTATTACGCTACAAGTGCAATATTGTTATGTGTTCCTTGTTTATTTAATCCTTTATTTTTTGCAGGTGCAAAAGCGAGCCCGTTGTTGAACGACGTGAGGTGAGTGCAGGTAAGTGTGTGTGTGTGTGTGTGTGTGTGCGTGCGTGCGTGCGTGCGTGCGTGCGTGCGTGCGTGCGTGCGTGTGTGCGTGCGCGCGCGCGCGCGAATGTGAGTGTATGTGTGTGTGAGTGTTGTATTATTGTGTGATTGTATGAGTGTGTATGCTAACGTCTGTTTTTGTTTAGATGTCAACGGGCTACTGTTTATTCTGTGCGACGGGTCGAGGTAAGTTTTAAACGGTTATCTCAAGAAACAGAAGAAAACAATAACAGTGTCAAAACCAAATAAAATAAAAAGCAAAAGAATATTAAAATAACAAAAACTGCCTCCGTGGCCGAACGGTTACCATGCCGGACTGCCACGCAGAGGTCCCAGGTTCGATTCCCGGGCCGAGAGAAATAGTTGTATGGCTTACAATTATTTCTCTCGTGAGTTTGGGTGTAATTTGTGGTTGTCTAAGTGTGTCCATGGCACCCGCGACACAGGGTTTCCCTAGTGCGGGGCTATGTTGAGTGTGTGCGTTAAAAAAAAAAAAAAAAATTTTGTAGAGTCAGCTCTACGTGTCTAGTTCGCCTTTATTTTGGCGTAAGGCTAGCCTTATTGGTCCACTATTTATAGCCTGGGTAAATATATATAGTATAAACTCAGGTTTTGTTCTCAAGTATTTTGGTTATTACATGAACGACTCTAGATAGAGTTCGTCGTGTACCTTCGTCTAATGGTCCTTTTTAAGTGGAGTCTATTGATGAAAACCGCGTCCTTCTACGTGCTCTATTAACGGAGCACTCTTAATTTTAAATTTTCAAAATGGCCGTCCAATATGGCGGTCGTTAACTTTACTTGCTATTATCTCAGGAAGTATCTGCCCAAGAGTGACGGGAAAAGATGCTTCAAGTTTCCCTAGTCACGGACTATCGGACGCTGCACTTTAAATGTATGTAAAATTCCGACTCTACATAGAGCCGATTTAGGTCGGGTTCGATAGTCCTGGGCGGACCCCTGTTACCATCGAAAATCCCGCCGCTGTAGGACTTATACTTTCCGAAATATTTTATAATTAAAATTTTGCAAATGGCGTCCAAGATGGCCGCCAAAAGTGTAACTTCGGTTCTATCAATCCGAATTTAATCGTGTTTGGGCTCGTTGGATGAGGTTTCACGAGTCCAGTACGTAGGTTTGGACTCCAACGATATTTAGGTTACGCCCGATTTTTAATTTTGAATATTTACTGAAAAACACTAATTTTGATGTAGTTTCAGATATTTACCTAATTTATTAACAAAATTTGTTGAGTACGCTTTTATTTGTATTTACCTTAGTGTTTGGACGTAGCAAGGAATTTATGTTTGATTAGTTCTATTTTTAAATTGTATTTTAAAATTTCAGACTGAAGGGGCTGCTGCTCAAAAACTACCCTTGCTAATTTTATTTAGACTTTTGGGGGATCGGTTTTAAGTCACCCCCTACCCTTCTGCGCTTCTAAATTTGAAATAATTTAATAAACAAAAAAGTAAGATCTCAATTCGCGATCTTTTACAATCTTAACGCATTTATTTGCGTCTGGCGCATTTATTATGACGTACTATGGAGGTTAAAATATTCCTAATCGATACATAATTTATCAAGATTTTTTAATATGTTATCGCGCTACACGGCTATATCACAAGTACGAAAATTTTTTACTAAATATTGTGCCTATTGTTTATAATAAATTACTTGAGAATTTTCCCAACCGCAAAATAACACGCCAATTTGTCGATATATCTCACATAACCAACTTATCGGTAAGATGCTTTGCAGTTGGTAAAATTTTTCTTTGTTAATTAGAAAATTTATATCTTTAAAACTATTCAATGCAAAAATCTGAATTTTACGCTGAATTTTACGCTAATGTATAAACATAAGACTATACTACTAGTACCTAAAATAAAAGATGGAGGTCGCCGATCCCGCTGCTGAGCTGGGGTCCCAGGAACAAAACGGTTTTGTGTTTTCCGGCGGCACTTGTCTTGTTTTAGCAGTATCTCCTAAATTACAGCTCCAAATTTGATTATGACGCCACCGTTTGTTTGTGCTGGTGCTATCGCTTTACGTGCAGGTGTTAGATTTTTGCCCAGGGTGTTTTTTGACGGGGCTCACACACGTGGTGAAAACAGTCTTTTGACAATAGCTCCGGAGGGTGTGATCGGAAAAATCTGGGGTTTTCACCACCTTGTAGGGGACACTAATCGGCTGCTTTTGACACTATAAAAACATGGGGGTGTCGATCGTTTTTGAGCGGCGCACGCCAAAAACTGTTCAAAAATTGCCTCTCACGTGCACGTATTACGTTTTTTGGTCACTTTCGGTGTTTTTTAGTCAAATTTAGTTCACTTCACTTCAATCCAGGTTCTTGAATTTTTGCACAAAGATACACTACACGAAACGACACAATTTTGAACTTTTTTCAAGTCGATCGGAGCACTTTGTATATTTTATATGATTTTTGAGCGTGGAGTGGCTTTGTAAACGATGCTCGCGCTGCGGGAGTTAGCGCGCAAAAAAATGACCCACACATCTTCCTGGGAATACTAAATAAATGTCTCGAATACGGATATTTTCCAAAAGTTTGGAAGGAGGCCACGGTGGTCGTGTTGAGGAAACCTGGCAAGGACGTGTACACCACCCCAAAATCGTACAGACCGATTGGACTGCTTCCCGTGCTGGGGAAAATTTACGAAAAATGCTAATGGCCAGGATAAAATATCATATACTGCCGAAGCTGAGCCCAAAACAGTACGGGTTCATGCCACAAAAAAGCACCGAAGACTCCCTCTATGACCTGATGAAACATATAACAGCCAAACTAAATGAGAAAAAGCTTATTACAATAGTATCGCTTGATATAGAGGGAGCCTTCGATAGTGCATGGTGGCCTGCCATCAGACTGAGACTGGCAGAAAATGTTGGCAAAAAAAACATAAGCAGAGTTATAAATAGTTACTTAGACGAGAGAAAGGTCATGGTCAGATACAGTGGCGAGCAGTATACAAAGATAACCAATAAGGGGTGTGTACAGGGCTCGATAGGAGGACCTGTATTATGGAATATACTCCTCGACCCTCTCTTAAAGGATATGGACATAATGGGTCACTATGTGCAGGCATTTGCAGACGATATCGTGCTGGTTTTTGACGAGGAAACAGGCCAGGGAATAGAAAGACGTGCCAATGCAGGTCTTGAACATGTTCGGGGGTGGGGCATCGAAAATAAGCTACAATTTGCACCGCATAATACCAGCGCTATGGTGATTACACGCAAGCTGAAATTCGATGCCCCACAACTGAGCATGGGCGGGATAAGCATTGGCATGTCAAAGGAGATCAAAATACTGGGGGCCACCGTTGACCATAGGCTAACTTACAATACACATGTAGCTAATGTTTGCAGAAAAGCCATAAATATTCACAAACAGCTCGCAAGAGCAGCTAAGGTGAGCTGGGGCTTACATCCGGAGATAATTCGCACGATTTATACGGCTACAGTCGAGCCAATAATTTTGTACGCGGCGAGCGTATGGGTGACGGCCGCCGACAAAATAGGCATACGAAAGCAATTAGGCGCGGTTCAACGCGGGTTTGCTCAAAAAATGTGTCGACCCTATCGCACAGTCTCCCTAAACTCGGCACTGGTGCTAGCCGGAGTGCTCCCGCTGGACCTTCGTATACGTGAAATGGCTTCACTGTACGAGGTTAGGAGGGGGGTGCCCCGGCCTGAACTAAGAGGTAGGGAGATTGAGCAAATGGCACCAGCTACACGAGCACCTCATCCCGCAGACCATATAACTCTGAAGTTCATGAGCCTGGTGGACCAGGAATCAGTTAACGCAAACAGCGACTATGCCGTAAAGATATATACGGACGGCAGCAAGATTGACGGTAAGGTTGGTGCCGCACTATCCATTTGGAGTGGTGCGGTAGAAACCAGACCCGTCAAACTTTGCTTGCCGTCCTACTGCACAGTCTACCAGGCAGAACTGCTCGCGATATGTGAAGCAACTAGATACATCACAAAGAACAATGCGTCTACATACGGGATATATAGTGATTCGACTGCGTCCCTTCAAACTATTACCAACCTCGCTTCCCTTCATCCCCTGGCAGTAAAAACAAGAAAGAATTTAAAAACAGCTTCTCAACAGAACAAGGTTGTAGCCATGTACTGGATCAAAGCCCATGCGGGGCTGGAGGGGAACGAGAGGGCCGATTATCTTGCCAAGGAGGCCGCACTAAACACCAAAAAGAAACCAGACTACGACCTTTGTCCGGTGTCATTCGCAAAGCGAATACTCCGTATGGAATCGCTTTGCGAGTGGAACAAAAGGTACGGGTCTGGCGAAACGGCAGGGACTACAAAAATATTTTTCCCGGATGCGGTCGCCGCGTACAGAACCATCCGCAAATTTGAGCCAACCAACATAACAACACAAATATTTACTGGGCACGGTGGGTTCTCCGAATACTTGTACCGTTTCAAGTGTAGGGAGAGCCCATCGTGCATATGCGACTCTGGAACAAGTGAAACCGTCCCCCATATTATAATAGAATGCCCCGTGTTCAATCTGCAACGAATGCAAACGGAGCACAGCATTAATTGTAAAATTACCATTGAAAATATTTCGTCCATTATGGCGGGCAAGAATAGAGATAGCTTCTTAAGTTACTGTAACAACATAGTGTATAAAGTAATAAATAGGAACAAATAAGAAAGTAACGTATGATGACATAATATGATGTAAATATTAATGTATCACCATACAACGTATTATAGTAGTAATAAAACAAATAAGCATGTATAAGCTAGAGTGTAACTTAAGACTGTAAAAATTAGAATAGGAAACAAAATTTATGTAAAATAGAAAATAAGTTGTAAAAGAGTAAACCCATGTACGTTTATGAGTCAATAAGAACATAAATAAGATTGTACTATTGTGATACTGTAATAAAAACAATAACGTGTGTGCACCCTGTATATCCCAAATATATACAGAAAATAAAGTAATACATAAGTAAGTACTGTAGAAGAAACCAAAACACAGTATAGGCGGGCGTCCCACCTGCTATGGTATACAAGAGATGTATGACAGAAAGAACCGTATGAGGAATGAAAGTGCGACAGGAATAAATGATAGAACTGGAATGCAAGAGTAGATACAGTAGTATAAGACAGGCTCTGACGACTAATAGTCAGAGGTAATAAAAACATTAAAAAAAAAAAAAAAACCTAACCTAACCTAACCTAACCCAGTTGCAGCGTGAGCATCAATTTCGAACGATTCCACGCCAAAAATTCTGTAAAAATAGTAAAATTGGTCCAATTTACACGGGAAAAGTGCTAAAGTGCGTAGTTTTGTGCAGTGCATATTCGTATAAAAGTTTCAACCCCGAGGAGTGCAGTGATCAAAGTGAAAGCTGTAAAAACAGCTGTTAATAAAGAAAAGTGCACGCGGTCGAACCACTTTGAAACAATTTTCGGCGTGTGGCGCCAAAAAGAGATCGGTGCCCCATATTTTTTCAACTGCTTAAAGTTGCATACAGAGGCCCTCTAAAACCCTGTGAAAGCAGAAAAATTTTACCTCCGCGTCCTAGTGAGAAAACACGGAAAAACAAATTTCAACACGTGTGGGACCTGCACCGAAAACCACTCGGAGCGAAAATTCAAGACCCCTACGCAAAGCGCTAGATCCAGACAAGACCAAAAACGACCCCAAAAGAGAAATCGGAACAGTATTTTGGGAAATATCCCAAAAACAAGGCAAACGCAATCGAAGAACACATAATCTTTTCTTCCGGGGACCCTGGCTCAGCAGCGGGATCGACAACCTACTTATTTTAAATTAGGTATTTATGGACTAGTTATTTATAAGTATATCGCGATATGAATTAGAATTTTGCCATAAGTAGTTTTTAAGATATTACTGTTTTTAACCGCTTTTTAATTCGCTGTACACCACTCCATACATCAGTGGGCAAGTCACCAAAAACGGTCGCCGAGGTGGACGGAGTTGCTGGCTTGTCGGCGATTGGTCGCCTCTTCCGGTGACTTCGGTGGCTTACTGGTGACTTTGACAACTCATTCAATTACTTGTGACCCAATTGACGTTAAATGGACAATTCTGACTACTAGTGGACTATCATAGTGACCTGTGTCTTAATTGCAAATCCGTGCTATCGGTATTGTGTCGGATGTGCTGTGTGTTGGATTGCGGTGATTACAACTACCTGGGATCACAATTCTCTCACCTGGTAAGATATTCTTCCTAAACTATTGTGTAAGTGGCTTCAATATGGAGAACCTCCCACGTAGCCTCGAGCCAATTTCTCTCGCCTTATCTGATGAAGAGGGACTTGACGATCCCTATGACACTGCAAATGAAGAGCCAGATTCCGTTTCTATATTCGGCCAGAGGGTTTGCGACTACGCTAAGCAAACAACCCATAAAGTCTCCGAAAATAAAAGCGTCACAAAACAAAACAAATACAGTATTATTGAATTTGCCAAGAAAATAAATAATGACCATCGCAGAGGAATTCCGAACATACAACAAGAAGAAACCTCAAAGTAGCCAAGCAATTATACGCGAAGACAGAATGGTCTCTATTATAAAGGATACCATAACTCAGCAACTTTCAAAAATAAATAAGCCTACGGGTAATGTGTCCACACCCACATATCCTCCGCCTAGCCTCCGTGACACGCAAGCAAACTACCAACCCCAAAGAAATGATCCCCACAACCAAGCCTGCTCTGATAATCTCACCAACGAAAGAAGTTCACAGCCCTGCTGAAATTCTACAAAAATGGAAAAAGTATATTTCCTTCCGAGACACCAACTTCTCCCCTGCGAGCGTCAAATATGTCTCCAATAACAAACTCAGAGTTGAGTTTGATACTGAAGTTCAAAGAGATGAAAGTGAACAGCAATGCAGCAGACATCAAAGCTGAAATATCTAAAAAAAAAAAAAAAAAACTTAAGCCTATGTTCATACTAAAAGGCATATCTCAGGACACTCCATCTGATTTACTAACGAATATCTTGTATAACCAAAATGACTGCATTAAGAATCTTACCGATGACTCTTCTCAATTGGCATTCAGATTCATGAGAAACTACAAAAATCCTCACCTTTATAACGCCGTCTTTATGGCATGTCCAGCATTATTCCGTGCCATTATGAAAAATGAAAAACTCAACGTTGACCACCAGAGAATCCATGTGGAAGAATATATTCCTCTACTTCAATGCTATAACTGCCTACAGTTTGGACATACTAAGAAACGATGCTCCCAAGACAATCCTGCTTGCTCCCATTGTTCTGCTACAACTCATATATACAGAGAATGTCCTGTAAAAAAGGATCAGTCCAAAAATTCGCGTTACAACTGCATCACACATAACAAAAGATATAATTTAAATAAGTCACCACCGAACCATAGCGCTACATCTAATCAGTGTCCTAGAATCATCCAAATGCTTTCAAAAATACGCTCTCGTATTGACTATGGTTCACTCACGTGATTCTAGTTGTATATAATATTCAACAATTCTGTACTCGTCTTATTAATGTTTCAATCTCCGTGGCCACACTGTTGTGGACAACCTGCGACTCAGCCTGATCATCTTGTTGGTAACTATTCGGTGATCTGGATATTTTGTGACATAGTCGTCGGGTCGGTGACTGCCTGATTACTTGGACAGTTGGCGACCAAACCGTCTGGTCGGTGACTTCCCGGTGTTTCGGACGGTTGGCGACTCGGCTGTCTGGTTGGAGTTTTCTCGGCGACTTGGTGACCTGGCTGGCTTGCTGGTGTCTTGGTGACCTGTGTTGGTGGCCTGTATTGGTGACTTGTGTTGGTTACCTGTGTTGGTGGCCTATGTTGGTGACCTGTGATTTCTCGCTACGACTTCAAAATAAGCTGATATGTCTTCAAGCCCACCACTTTACATTGATTTGGATAAAACGGACAGCGTCGCCGCGGAACCAATGGACACTCGTGCTGACAGTTCGGGACCCAGCTGTTTGGATATGCCTGTAATCGACAGTTGCGAGGACAAGGCTGCTGCCTCTGAGACTTCAGTCCACGATGCCTCTAGTGATATGGATAATCCACACAAGTCTGGACAATCTCAATCTACTTCTTTTAATGTCTCCGACACTGACAATGCAACTTCACTGCTACTATCGCTTCGAGAACGTATTCAATATGAGGCAGAGGATTCGTCAACGTCCACCGAACAGCTGTTTGTTGATGACCCGGGTACACCACCACAAAAACAAAAAAGGCATAAAAGGAGACTTTGCAATAGGAAGTCGCCGCATCCTGCAGACACTGCATCCGACTCCACCGAGTCTATGGACGAGCTAAGATTTTAGTTTTATATTACCATAAAAAAAAAACAAAAAAAAATAAAAATAAAAAAAATTATAAAATAAATATTATATATTAAAAAAAACAATTATTAAAAAATAAATAAATAAATAAAAAAGAAAACAAACAAAAAAAACAAAAACAACCAAGAAAAAAACCATTAAAAAAAACAAAAAAACAAAAAATTATAAATAAATAAATAAATCTATCGAATTTCATATTCCACTCTGTAAAACGGCTTTGTGTTATTATTCGTTTTTCCTAAAGATTAATTGTATTCATTTTGTCTTTTTCATCGCACTTATTACTTAAAAGTCTAACTTTATATTTGTAATGTATAACTACGATGTTGTCAACTCATTTGTATCAATTGTAAATCCACATTTCACTATTTACAACTTCGCTTTGTGCTATTACTTAAAATCTACTACATTCTATAACAAATTGCTATGTATAACTTTGTATCTACTTTGAATTGTTAACAACTATCGAGTTCTTAGGTTTTCGCGATTGTTACACATAGGAAATGACACTATTTTTCCGGATTTAAATCGCGTATATTTGTTTTTTCAAACAAACCTACGTTTCGGGCCCTTTGCAGGTCCCATGGTCACGGTTGACTGTACTGTACAGTGATCTCGCGATCTATAGTGACTCGAGAGCGGCTCTCTTATCGGTCGTCAACTCCTACTCGCTTCACCCATTGGCAGTGGAAACCAGACAACACATGAAAGCCTCGTCAGAGATGAAGAAAACAGTGTCATTATACTGGATAAAGGCCCACGCCGGGATGGTGGGGAACGAGAGGGCCGACCAACTTGCGAAGGAGGCCGCCCAGACACTTAAAACCAAGCCCATCTATGACCGGTATCCCATCTCATTCGCGAAACGAAGCCTTAGTATAACTACGCTCCGCGAATGGGACGTCAGGTATAAGAACGGAGACACAGCAGGAGTAACGAAAATGTTCTTCCCGGAGGTGGTGCCCGCTTATCGAACAATTAAAAAACTGTACCCGACAGCACTGACAACACAATTATTCACCGGGCACGGTGGGTTCTCCGAATACCTGCATCGCTTCGGTGTAAGGAGAACCCATCGTGCATATGCGACCCTGACAGAGACAAGACCGTGATCCACATCATAACTGAGTGCCCAGTGTTTGACCTAATAAGATTTGAAATTGAACAGAAAATTTGTTGTAAAATTACAAAAGATAATCTGGGTAAAATTATGTTAGGGAAACATAGAAATGGGTTCCTAGAATACTGCATGAAAATAATCAAAATTGTAAACAATAGAAATAAGTAGCCTAAGAAAGTATGATGACCCGGTATGATGTAAATATCAGTGGTTTATCATAAAATAAAATATGAATGTAAAGTAGAATAGGAAACCTAGTGTAGTAATTTAGTATATAATACAAAATGGCATCAGCCAGTATTTAATGCTTCTGATCTTCCCCAAAAACGTGGTTGGTATGTGTGTGTGTGTGTGTGTGTGTGTGTGTGTGTGTGTGTGTGTGTGT